AACCAGGGAGGCGGGGGGTTGGGGTTGGGGTGAGGGTCTGCTTTGTCCCAGCAGTAAAATAAAAAGGGGAGGGGGAGAGAAGGGGGCAAAGCGCCTGCACTCTCCCAGCAGTAAAATCTGACAGTTTTAGGACTGTTCTCCTGGCACCTCTTTAAAATGTCTCTGGGCCCTGCGGGAAAAGGGCCATGTGGGAGACCACCAAAAACAGGTTGCCCACAGTCCCATAAAGCCACACACGCACATGCACATTGCACATTATGTGCACACACACACACTGCCCCGACCATAAACAGCCGCACCGTGTCCGTCCTTTACCCACTCAATGGCTGCATTTGTTCAGATAATATTCCTGGACGCACGTTCAGAACAAGAACGAAAGAAAACACGTACATATAAGAGGCTTTCCATTGCCACATTGTAAGGCAGAACAGAACATTACTCCACTCTGCTTTCCTGGATTCTAAAAAACAAACAAAAAGCAGAGCCTTTAGGATTCTGAGAGAGAAGCTGCGATTGAGGGGGGAATCGTGAGCCAGGCCGGCAGCCGAGATCTGAAGTTTTGCAGTGCCTGCTTGCAACACTTTAACTCTGAGGTAGATGACAGCTCCTTTTGGGAAAGGCAGTCTGGAGGAGCTTGCAAATGAGAACTCAAAATTGGAAGGGGTGCATTGCTGTGCTTTGACCGAGCTCAGCCTAATGACTCCTTGCAGTAGCGAAGTGGGGACGAGGCATGTGGCTGTCTTGGGATTCTAAGAGCTGGTTTGAGATTGTCTCAACGCAACTTGGACGATGCCTGGATCCCTCCGAATGGGTCTCAGGAGTTTGGCCTCAGCCAAATCTGGTGCCCAGCCCTAACAATAACAATAATCCGGTGTTTCAACATTTCTGTTGCCCTGCCTACTTTGTGAATCAAGCCAGTATTCTGGGTCATTCCCATAGATCAGATCACAAGGGCAATAACATAGATAGCATCACTTGTCTAGCTCTGCGTCGGTCCATGGCGCCATTTCCACCCAGTGCTTCCTCCTCGGACTGGCAGCAGTCTCTCTCTCCAAGGTCTTTCTCAGCTTGGCTACGGGAAATGCTTCATGTACAGGAAGTCCATTCCTTCCTCATCGCTGAGAGGTCTCCATTCAACCTCTGCTTTAACAACAAGGAGAACCAACCATCTTCCCAGGCAGTCTGTTCCACCGTCAGATGAATTATACCATATGCAAGTTATTTCCTTGTTTGTTCTGTCAACCCCCCCCCCCTTTCTTGCAATTTGGACACGTTGGTTCAGGTCCAACTTTCTAGTGCAACAGAAAACAAATTTGCTCCCTGCCTACCCTGCAATCCCTTCAGGCATTTGGAGATGGCTCTCATATCACCTCTTCATTGCCGCCTCTCCAGCTGAAATCTATACAAACCCTCCTCATGGGATACGCAAATGGGAGCCAGCGTGGTTCTAGTGCTTAGAATGTCAGACTAGGGCTTGGGAGAACAGGGTTCAAATCCCTACTCTCCAGCCGCTGCTTCTCAACCTGAGTTACCTCACTGGGTTGTTGTGAATATTAAATGTGTGTGTGGGGGGGGGGGTAGAACCTTCTGCACCACCTTGAGCTGCTTAGAGAAAAGGGTTGTATCAAAAAGCAATAAGTAAGTAAGTAAGCAAGCATAACCGCGTTATGGGACGTGGGTGGTGCTGTGGGTAAAACCTCAGTGCCTAGGACTTGCCGATCGTATGGTCGGCGGTTTGAATCCCTGCGGTGGGGTGAGCTCCCGTCGTTCGGTCCCAGCTCCTGCCCACCTAGCAGTTCGAAAGCACCCCTAAGTGCAAGTAGATAAATAGGTACTGCTTTATAGCAGGAAGGTAACAGCGTTTCCGTGTGCTGCGCTGGTGCTGGCTCGCCAGAGCAGCTTCGTCACGCTGGCCACGTGACCCGGAAGTGTCTTCGGACAGCGCTGGCTCCCGGCCTCTTAAGCGAGATGAGCACGCAACCCCAGAGTCGGACACAACTGGCCCATACGGGCAGGGGTACCTTTACCTTTAAGCAAGCAAGCAAGCATCTTCAGGCCCCACAGCACTGACAGCAGAGCCAGAACTGGGTTTGGTGGTGGTGAGGACTGCGTACCCTCCAAGTGTCCCTATTTTCCAGGGACGTCCCTGATTTAGAGAAGCCATCCCGGTTTCCGATTTGATCCCAGAATATCCCACTTTTCCTTAGGAAGTTCCTATTTTCATTGGAGAAATGTTAAAAAGTATGGAGTTATCTGACCCCCGAATTGTCTGAAGGGAAGGCTTTTTTAAAAAATAAAATAAATGTTTTATTATGTTTTCATATACAGTCATACCTCATGTTACGTTTGCTTCATGATACGTTTTTTCAGGTTGTGTCCCGCGGCGACCCGGAAGTACCAGAAAGGGTTACTTCTGGGTTTCGACGCTTGCGCATGCGCAGACGCTCAAAATGATGTCATGTGCAGAAGTGGCGAATTGCAGCCCGCGCATGCGCAGACGTGCTGCTGTGGGTTGTGTTCTATTCATGTTGCGAACAGGCCTCCGGAACAGATCCCGTTCTCAATCAGAGGTACCACTGTATGTTGGAAGCTGCCCAGAGTGGCTGGGGCAACCCATTCAGATGGGCGGGTAGAAATAATCAAATTATCATTATGGAATGGGACATGGGTGTAGCCAGGATTTCTGTTAGGGGGGAGGCCTTTTCTTGCGGGGGGGAGACCTCAGTTTTAGCTATGCATTTTTATTGAATTTTATTGATTTAGGAGGGGAGCAGCTGCCCCCTACCCCACCCCCTTTGGGAATGGAATGGGACGTCCCAATTTTCACCGGATAAATGTTGGAGGGTATGGGACTGCTGCTGCTGGGTTTCCTGAGAGAAGCAGCAGGTCAGGCCCTCTTCCTTGGGAGGTCACCCTCCAATGGCCCTCCACTGGCTTCAGGGCAGGGTGACGGGGCTTTGCTTCACTCGCCACTCAGTAACTCAAACTGATAAGGCTTCCGAAAGGTGGAGAGGAGGCCAGGTCAGAGGACCCAATGCCAGACCTCTCTGGCCAGACCTCTCCCACATTTGGGTTGCCCCCCTCCCACCGCTCACCCATTTCTTTGCCCCTGCATCCTTTGGGAGAGGGTCACAAGTGGGTCAGCCGAAGTGCCCCCACCTCCCCCACCTCCGAGGGGGCCTTTGGATGATTAAAGGAGAAGGAGAAGCTTGGAGCTGATCTGGCTTCTGTCAGGAGGTCCTGGGGGAAATGAACTCCTCTCTCTCTCTCTCTCTCTCTCTCTGCAATGTGGAAGCCATAGGGAGATGAGTGGGGAGGGGAGCAAGCAGGGAAATGCAAACATATGGTCAGAGGGCAGAAAAACAGAGAAGAGATTGGGAATGTCACCGTGATGGACAGGAGTGGCAACTTAAATATTGGAGGGGGGAGCCCCACCCTGCATAACGACACTGAGACCTGCAGGTATAGGGTGGTAAAGGTAAAGGGACCCCTGACCATTAGGTCCAGTTGTGGACAACTCTGGGGTTGTGCAGTCATCTCACTCTATAGGCCGAGGGAGCCGGCGTTTGTCCGCAGACAGCTTCCGGGTCATGTGGCCAGCATGACAAAGCCGCTTCTGGCGAATCAGAGCAGCGCACAGAAATGCTGTTTACCTTCCCGCCAGAGCAGTACCTATTTATCTACTTGCACTTTGACGTGCTTTCGAACTGCTAGGTGGGCAGGAGCAGGGACCGAGCAACAGGAGCTCACCCCGTCATGGGGATTCAAACCGCCGACCTTCTGATCGGCAAGCCCTAGGCTCTGTGGTTTAGACACAGCACCACAAATTTGAATAATAGGGTGGTACACAAATTTTAATAATAATAATCAGTGCTTTTTTTCCTGGAGGGATGCAGGAGTACACATACCTCTAAACATTTTGTGAATCTTCATACTTTTGTCCATTTACTGTATTTATTTTTCCAGATTTGAACCATAAAATGGTGATTTTCTTGAGTCAAAATGAGAGTACCCCTAAACATTTTTTTAGAAAAAAGCACTAATAATAATAATAATAATAATAATAATAATAAATCACAAGCCGCAGTGCGCACACCATTTGAATGAATATTTTATGGAGGTGCGAAGGGAGCTCGGCCCCTAGGAACTGAGTCCTGTGGTGATGGACCTGGGGTAAGAAAGGTTGGGGTTGTGGAGACGCCGGGGCAACAGGAGCTCAGGCGGCCTGCAGAGAGTGGAGCAGGAGGGGAAGCTGCGGCAGCGGCATGTGGGGCAGATGCGGGGCAGCGGCCGCAGCCCCTCAGCCTCGACGCCCACCTCTTTCCTATGGACCCGTCCAAGGCTCCGACGACGGCGCGACAGCTCTATCTAGACGCGCTGCGAGCGGGCAAGCGGAGCGCAGCCGAGTGCGCGCCGGGGCGGGCGAGGTGCTGCCGGCGAGCGGGCGGGAGGCTCAGCCCTCCCTGTCGCGTCTCATCTCCAAGCTGCCTCTTCTCCAGTCCGCATCAATGAAGATTAATGAGGATCTTCCATCGGGTCTGTCGCCAGCCAGAGCCGGCGGGGGGCGGCTCCCCGCGCCGAGGAGCGGAGGCCAGCGCGCACGTAGGGAGAAAGAAAGGGAGGGAGAAAGAGAGGAAGGAAGGAAGGAAGGAAAAGGAAGGAAGGAGGGAGGGAGGGAGAAAAAGAACCGGGAAGATTTTATTTCTGCTATGGAACTTGGCAGGGGGTGGGGGGCGCACAGGGAGCACCAAAAATAAGCCAACCTATCAGTTAAGGACAGTGGATATATCTGCAGCACTTGGGTGATGTGAAGAATTTATTTGATCAAGACTCAGAAATAATAACAGTACGCGTAATAATTTCAGTAAAAGTTGTAAGCGGCATTGACATCCCGCTGTGGGGGCTGAGCCATGGGCGTAGCCGGGAGGGGAGGTGCAGGGGTGCAAGTTTTTAAATAATAATTCTTAACTAATTGACCAATCGCGTCGCAGATAGCTCGGTTCTGCCCTCCCTAGAATAAATTTTGACACGCCCCCAACACAAATCCTGGCTACGCCCATGGGCTGAGGCACAGAATTTTGCCACTTTGGGGCGATTCCAGATGGGGGTTTAATTTGCAAATGGACTGTTGAGATATGGCAAATGCGTAATTGGCAACAGGGGGCGTTGTGAAAAAAGAAACTTACTGGATTCATTCCTCTCCCCAGAAAAGGTAAATCAGGATTAAGTGGGTGGGGGGAAATACGGAGTGTCATTCGGACTCTGCAAAAAAAAGAACAAACCACCTTGCGTGTATGGGGTGGTGGGGTGGAGAGCACCCGTCCCATAATATGCAGTCATCCGGAAGCACCCCTAGTGTGTGGTTTGGCTTTAGGCTGATTGCTGCAATAGCTGGATTTGTTTGGCTCGCAGATCAAAGTGAATGCGAAGAACGCAGATGGAGGAGGGCAAGTTCTGGCCCCAATTTACTTGCATTCATTAGCATACATGAGAAGGAGGGGCTTCCCATGCAGTTCCTCATGAATGCATGTTGGTCACTGCAGTCATAGTCATCGCGTCCAACGAATCTGAATACGAGGTCTCCCATCCAGTTTGAAACCGGACCGGACCCTGCTTAGCTTTGCGAATATGCCTGCAGTTTTATTGCTCCACGAATTGGATGACTTCAGAAGAGGAGCAGCCAAATTTATGGGTGGCGAGGCTGTCCATGGATACTTGCCACAACGGCTATTGCGTTCTCCCTCCTCTGTTGGAGGAGGTGCGCTTCGTATTAATAACATCAGCTTCTGAGAATCTCAGAGCACGGTTGCGCTTGGGTCCAGCTCGCAGTCTTCCTGTAAGCACCTGGTTCATTGCCATGAGAACAAGATGCTGGATTTGTCGGGCCTGATCCAACAGGTCTCTTCTTCATATATCCACCTTGGATGTTATATTGGCTGCGATGAATCCAGAGTTGCCTGGATTGACCAGAGACTGGCTAAGGCTGTAAGCCCCCACTCAGCTCCATTGGACTTGTGTGTTGGATTGCAGGTTGTTCATGGCAGACCCTCACTTGTTTGAGCCCTGTGTTGGTAGTTCAAATAGCTGACAGCAGCCCACAACCTACTGCTTTGCCCGCTTTGCATTCCTCACATTTCAGGTTGGAGTTTCAGCATAATCTCCTTCCCTGTCTGAAAAACAGGAACGATTTCCTTCCCTTTAAAAAAGCCAGCACCAGACCGCAAACACACACACACACCCCTTGATGGGTGTGTGTTGTAGTGGGTGACACACCAGCATCACAGACTTTGGTTCAAGCCAGTGAGTGGCCCATCTAGTCCAGCACCCTGTTCTCACAGTAGCCAACCAGGTGTCCACGGGAAGTACGGTATGTCTATACAGTGGTACCTCGGGTTACATACACTTCAGGTTACAGATGCTTCGGGTTATAGACTCCGCTAACCCAGAAATAGTACCTCGGGTTAAGAACTTTGCTTCAGGATGAGAACAGAAATCATGTGGTGGCAGCGCAGCAGCAGTAGCAGGAGGCCCCATTAGCTAAAGTGGTGCTTCAGGTTAAGAACAGTTTCAGGTTAAGAATGGACCTTCATACACACTGCCCAGGCTTGTGCCCCAGAGAGGTGCAACTAAAGCAGCAGTTTAACTTCACCCCTGGATGTGCATTGCATTGTCTCCTGAGGCAGACAGATGCCAACAAGAAGATGTATTTTTAGGGTATTTCTTTTACATCTATTTTCTATCAAATCAAGCCTCTTCAGCTCACTCTAGAAATGTCAGCCGAGAAATGCTAGCCGTCAGCAACAGCCGAGCATGCAAACGTTAATGAATTCCACACTTGACACCACTCAGCTGGATTCCTTTACTATACCTTACAAAGCCAGGGCCGGTTCTACCATTAGGCAGCTGCCTCAGGTGGCAGGTGCTGGGGGGGGTGGTGGCAGCAGTCCCCTGACCACTCCCCCTCAGCAGAAGAAATGGGGCACTTCCCCACCAATCACAGTCTGTCCCACCTGCATAGCATGTTAATTTCAACCAGTCAGCCTCTGCCTCCATCTACTATGGTGGGGGTCCCTGTCTCCTGCCCCACACAGTCCCAATGAACATCAGTTGCCACTGTTCTTCCTGAGTCCCCTAAGTGGCCTGCCTTGTCCTTCCAAACCTAGCCTACTGTCCTGCACAGCAAAGGATGCTGCCCCTTCGATAGAGTTGGAACAAAGTTCAATTGCCCATCTTGCCAGAACCTGGGGGCACCATCTTATTATTATTATAATTTATTAATTTATTATTGTTGTTATTATTTATACCGCCCCTTCATCTGTAGGTCTCAGGGTGCTTCACAACATAAAATTACAATGTAGAAATCACAAAATAAAATGCTTAGTAAAAATAAGAACAAAAGCAAATAAATAATTCCCCCTTCCACAACACATTTTAAAAGGTGTCGGATGTCAATCAGTCTGAGGCCTGGTTAAAGGGGAACGTTTTTGCTGGGTGCCTAAAGGTGTGTAATGAAGCCACCAGGAGAGCCTCGCTGGAGAAAGCGTTCCACAAATGAGGATCCACTGCAGAAAAGGCCCCGTTCTTGTGTTGCCAGACCTCTTGTGGGGGAGGCATGCAAAAAAGGGCCTCAGCAGATGATCTCAGAATCCAGGTAGGTTCCTTGAAGTATTGCGGTCCTGATCCATTGTTCTCGGCCTCAGGCAGCGAAGCAGCTTGGGCAGCCCTGTCTGCAGCAGCCTACCTTCCAGGCTGTCGGAAGGATGAATGAGGAGCACAGTTGTTGCATGCCTTTAATCCTAGTGTGGACCGCAAATTAAAGGAAAGGGGTAAAGGCAGGCCAGTGTGTTGTAGATCCTTTGCGAAGCCCTTTCATTAAAAGCACACTGGGGCTGGTCTGTTCTTCCCAGCACAGAAGGCGTCACCAGACAGCACCGACTCCACAGGTAAGTTTCCTGCTACAGTTTCTCTCTGTGTCTCTGTCTCTTTTTTCCATGGCGTAAGCGAGGAAGCCAACAAAGGTTACCTCATAAATTCCAAGCGCTGGCACAAGGCAGTCCTCCCTTCGTTGAGGGCGGCAAGTATGAAGTTAAGAGATAAAGAGGGAATTACACGATAAGGTCCTCTTAATCCCAGGCCGCTTCATGCAATTAAAATGAGCTTCACCCTCCTGTAATTGGGAGGCGGCAGCCTGCCAAACCGAGGGAGCAGAACATCCCTGGCGCAAAAGGAAGAAGGCTCCGAGATGAGAGCGAGGCAACTTATCACCCCCACCAGGAAAATAATAATAATAATAATAATAATTACCAAAAGTTTTTAAAAAGCAGCCAAGGGTACAGAAAGAACAGGGGGAGGGAGGGGTAGAGATGGAGGAGCAGGAAGAGAAATAGGAATTGATGAGGTGAAAGCAGAAAGGATTGACAACGGAGGATTACTTCACTTTCCAATTTCACAAGATAAATCCCTCTTTCTTTCTTTCTTTCTTTCTTTCTTTCTTTCCAGGGAAAGACGATTCACATTCCATACTGGGTGACACAACTCACACCTTGACTACGGGGATGGTAGGAGGGTCAGCCAAGAGCTGGAGCCCTAAGTGAATGTCTGCCCGAAAAAACTCCATCGCTAACATTTTTAAGGTTGGGTGGCCATGTGTCATGGCTGCTTTAGTTGAGATTCCAGCACTGCAGGGGGGTTGGACTTCAAGAACACTGTCCAACCATCTCATCCTCTGTCGTCCCCTTCTCCTTGTGCCCTCCATCTTTCCCAAAACCAGGGTCTTTTCCAGCGAGTCTTCTCTTCTCATGAGGTGGCCAAAGTATTAGAGCCTCAGCTTCACGATCTGTCCTTCCAGTGAGCACTCAGGGCTGATTTCCTTCAGAATGGATAGGTTTGATCTTCTTGCAGTCCATGGGACTCTCAGGAGTCTCCTCCAGCACCATAATTCAAAAGCATCAATTCTTCGGCCATCAGCCTTCTTTATGGTCCAGCTCTCACTTCCATACATCACTACTGGGAAAACCATACCTTTTACTATAAGGCTGGTCCATTTGGGCAAATGGGGCACTGAATGCTGCCCCCCACATCTGCCTTCTTACATCTGCCTGGGGTGGGGGGATGGCACCCCACTTTCCCCCTCCTTAGTCTTGGTGTCACCCTTGCAAAACTTAGCAAGGAGAAGGATGGGGACTGAACCGAAATCAGTGTAGTGCTTAGAGTGTTGGACTAAGACTGACCAGGCCTGGGCAAGAGAAATGGATGAACTATGCAGAACTGGCTAAATTGACACACAAATTGTGAGATAAGGACAACTGTGACTTCAAAGAAGAATGGGAACTTTTTACAAATTGCTTGAAAAGACGACAAAATGAATTGGACCCCTTGGCAGGTTTTGAATAAACATACACAAATTTATCGATTGTTAACATAGTAGATATAAGGATTTGTACAATTTTACAGTATGCAGAGAACAATATGAGTTGAGAAATCAGAGAGAGGAGCTGAGGGAAGTCTCGCGGGGAGGGAGGGAGGGTTAGATGGGGGGGAAGGGGGGAAAATAATGAATATGAGATGTTTTGATATTTTGTTATGTTGAAATTGTTAATAATTTTTTAATATATTTTTTTAAAAGACTGATGAGGCCTGGGTTCAAATCCCTTCTCAGCCATGAAGCTCACTGGGTGATCTTGGGCCGGTTGTTGCCTCTCTCAGCCTAACCCAGCTCACAGGATCAAAGGACCTCAAATATCTGAAGGGCTGTAGCATGGAAGATGGAGCAAGCTTGTTTTCTCCCGCTCCAGAGGGTAGAACTCGAACCAGTGGCTTTAAGTTACAGGGAAGGAGATTCCGACTAAACACCAGGAAAAACTATCTGACAGTAAGAGCTGTTCGGCAGTGGAACTGACTCCCACGAGAGGTGGTGGACTCTCCTTCCTTGGAGGTTTTTAAGCAGAGGTTGGATGGCCATCTGCCATGGATGCTTTAGTTGAGATCCCTGCATTGCAGGGGGTTGGACTAGATGACCCTCGGGTCCCTTCCAACTCTATAAAATTCTGTGATTTGATGTATGCCACCTTGAGCTCCTTGGAGATATGGTTGTATATACAGTAGTACCTCTGGTTGCGAACAGGATCCGTTCCGGAGGCCTGTTCACAACATGAAAAGAGTGCAACCCTCAGCGGCGCATCTGCACATGAGCGGGTTGTGATTTGCCGCTTCTGCACATGTGCATGACGTCATTTTGCGCATCTGCGCATGCGCGAGCGGTGAAACCCGGAAGTAACCCTTTCCGGTACTTCCGGGTCACCACGGGACGTAACCTGAAAGAGCGTAACATGAAGCGGACGTAACATGAGGTATGCATTAAATAAAGGCATGGTGAAGTGTGGCCTCAGCAGTGACCCCCAAGCCCTGTCCCTCTGCAAATGCCAACTGACTGTCGGTGCTAACGAAGCCCACCCACTCCCTTCCCAGGCATGGTTAAGTTTTAAGCGCTTGTGGTTATTTTAATACGATACCGGAATGCTACATTTAGCATATGGATTATTCTGAGACAGGATATGCATGAGGAAAAAAATCTCTCTCTCTTGGTATGTGGGAGGTATGTAAATCACAGCATAGAGGAGTCTTCCCCAACCTGGTGCCCTTCAGAACTCCCAGCAGCCCCACCCACAAGTGGAGATTTGAACCCTGCCCTCCCAGATCACAGTCCACTACGCTAACCATTGCACCACACTGTCGCTGCACGTCACACGGGATTCAGGTGTGGGGCAGGTGGGCCCGGCTTGGGGGAAAACAGCCAGGTTTGGGCCTCATGGTATTCCAAATCATTGGTTTAAACAAATGCAAACTTAAATAAAACTGAGGGAAGCCATGAATTTTACTGACTACAACTGGCTTCTTCCTGAATTCATTGGATTATTTGCCTTCTTGGAGTGATGCTTCCTGCCTTATTACTATTATGTCTGTTTTTATTTTATTTTTGATATATTTTATGCATTTTTGCTGCAAACTGCTTTGATATTTATTTTTTTAATGAAATTGCGGTCTTTTTTGCAAATAATAATAATCATGATTATTATCTTTCCTTTAACTAGGGTACAACCCCCCACTTTTTAACCTGTTAATAAAGTGAGGGTCAATACCTGGGGAAAAGGGGTTTCTGGAAGGTCTGGGTCCGGCAGAAGTCTCGCCCCTCCCTCCCTCCCCCCATTCCCCCCTTCTCCTCCTCCAACCCGCCTGCCTCTCTCTCCATCTCACCAGGCAGTGAGAACAAGTGGGGATTTACGAGTTGTGGGGAGCCGGGTGGCTTTGTGCGGGGATGTGAGGCGAGCGCTCGCCTTTATGGTTTTTAATACACTTTTTTTGATAATGAAGTTGAAATAGCCTCATAAAAGGACCCCCAAACGCAAGAGAAGCCTGCCATTTATTAGAGTCGTAATTCTTCTCCTGGCATTTAATCAATGTCCTTTTAATCTGCACTTCGTTAGTTTATTTCTGTTTAAGATTAGCGGCTGTAAAAATTACGAGGGGATTGTCTGAGGCAGCCAAGAGGGGGTGCGGCTGCTGCCATGGGGGGCAGAGAGAGAAGACCCCTTTGACAGTCACTCTGACCAGAGCTGGCAGAGCTCGGAGAAGGGGTAGAGAAGGGAATCCTTGGCACAAGCCAAGCAGTGCCCTTGCTTTGGGGCAGCAAAAGACTTAGAGGGGCATCACTGCCTTCCTTGAGAGGCACAGAGGAGGCTGGGATACCATCTAGAAACTGCGTCCCAGCATGCTGGGCTGCCTTGCAAGGGATTCTGAGACATCCCTGTTGCACCATGCAGTACACTTGGCACCATATTGACTGATTGCATTTCACAGAATCTTAGGTTTGGAAGGGGACCCTGGTGGTCAACTAGCCCAACCCCCCATAATGCAGGAATCTCAACTAAATCACACGATCCTCCTTTGATCCCCACAACCAGCCTGTGAGGTAGGTTAGGCCGAAGAGGCAATGGCTGACTCAAGGTCACCCAGTGAGCTTCATGGGCCGTGTAGGGGGATTTGAACTCGGGTCTCTCCCAGGGTACTGTAACCACTATACCAAACGGCCTTGGAGCGGTCCTGCGGAAGGATTGGCTTGGAGTTGTAGGGGGCAGGAGAGATAGGAGGTTGGGAGAGCCTCTGGGTCTTCCATGCAACTGTGTTCGCTAGTGTTGCCAATTTTTTAACCCGCCCATGTAGCTGTGCTTTTAGGGATGGTCTGATTGGCACAGCAATGAGCAGGTGGCTACTGTTAGCACCATATCAGCCGCTGATGGGACAAAAGCAAGCTGGGCCAGTGTTTTCTGAGGAGTTGGCAACTTCGTGCCCAGTCCCCAGGTAATGAAGCCTGAAGATGGCCATGTGTCCTACTTTTCAGAGTACAGTCCTCTAATTTGGAGGACTGCCATAGAATCATAGAATCTTAGAGTTGGAAGGGACCCCATCTAGTTCAACCCCCTGCAGTGCAGGAATCTCATCAGTGCAGGAAAGCATCAGTGACAGATGGACACCCAACTTCTGCTTAAAATCCTCCAAGGAAGAAGAGTCCACCGTCTCCCGAGGAAATCTGTTCCACTGCTGAACAGCTCTTACTGTCAGAACATTTTTCTGAATGTTTAGTCAGAATCTCCTTTCTTGCACCTTGAAGCCATTGGTGCATGTCCCACCCTTCAGAGCAGGAGAAAACAAGCAGGCTCCCTCTTCCATATGACATTCTTTAGGATATTTGAAGATGGCTATCATGTCTCCTCAGAGTCTTCTCTTTTCTAGGCTAAACATGCCCAGCTGCTTCAACTGTTCCTCATCAGGCTTGGTTTCCAGACCCTTGATCATCTTAGTTGCCTTCCTCTGCACACCTTCCAACTTGTCAACCCCCTTCTTAAATTGTCCGTCAATAGATTCCTCAACAATTTCAATGGTTTCCTAAAAACTTCCCGGGTGTCCTGGTTTTTACTTTCGGAAATATGGCAATCCTAACTTACAGGAACTTCTGCTGTTAGAAGGGAGGAAGTGCTTCTGAGCATGTTTAGAGTGCTTTCCTCTCCATCCTTGGTAACCACAGCCAGCCCCCATGGCCCTGAAATTAAGAGTTCAGGGTTCCTGGTAAGAGGATGTCATGTCTAGATACCTTTGAGAGCCTCTGAAACAAAATTAGCATCCCTTCTCACCCCTGGCCTGGCCTTTCCGCCCTGGAGAGTGACTTATAGAGCCCCCGGGACTCTACGAAGGGAGAACCAAGTTTGCACTATTAATCTCTTACCTGTAAAAATAGCAATTTAAGAGGATTTCATTATTCACAGCTTCTCTGTCCGCAGGGAATACTCCAACTGTCTATCACGTTATAGCGAGCAGTTAGAAAAACGAAGGATGTTAATAGCCCAACTTCCTCTGAGCTGCGCTTCTTATCATATTCTGTTTTCAGCTCCTGCAGTTGCCAGCAAACTGGGGGGGGGGGCAGAATCCAGAATGACTTGCTCCTCAGGCTGGAATCCTGAACACGCTTCCCTCAGAGAAAGTCGTCTTTGCCCTCAATGGGTCTTTTGAGCAGGTACATACAGGCTATTAAACATGCTTTCCCTGTGATCCCAGACCCTGTGAGTGTCCCTATTTTCCGGGGACAGATCCGGATTTACAGAAGCCGTCCCAGTTTCTGATTTGATCC